GGTGGAGACCAGATCTGTACTCTACTGTACTGCAGTGCTGTGTGGTGGAGACCGGCGCTGTACTCTACTGTACTGCAGAGTGATCTGTAGTTCTGTATTGTAATGTTCTGTAATTGTGTGCAGGAGGCCCTGCAGTATTTCCATTCGGAGCATCCAGACTACCCTGACTCCCTGCTCTACCACTTCCCCTCTGTTCTGCGGCTGGAAGCACTTCCGGAAGTCCTGGACACAAGCGTCACACGCAGCCTGGTCACTTCTCTGCTGTCTGCACTCAAAGCTAATGGTCAGTTCTCCCTGTGTATCGGAGTATCCTGGTTGTGTCTCTCCTGCTGTGTGTCTGCTGTCTTTCTCTCTGGACCTGTGCAGTCTCTCCTCTCCCCATCTTTAGTGTCTCAGTCTAGGCAAAGTATCCTGACAGAGAAGTCTATTGGCTTCCTCTCTGTCAGGGCGTCTGCCTACAGTCTTAGCACAGTAAGCTCCTTGCCCTGTCTGTCTCCGAGGCCTAAGGGAAGGTCCTACGCTGACAGGCTGAAGGAACTGAACTGTTTTAGTTTTGAACAGAGAAGACTGAGGGGGCCCAACAAAAGTAGTCAAACTCCTCTGAGATCTGGAGGCGTTTCTTTCCACACAGGGTTGTGGGGTTATGGAACAAGCTGCCCTGCCTTCAGAAATGCCTGGATGATCCTGTTAACTCCAGTGAACTGCTAGCAACCCGACTGGCCAGAGGGGGCGAGAGGCCCCTGCCGTGTGTGACCTTCTTGTGCTCTTGTTCCTGTGCTCCCAGGTTCTCAGGGTGTGTTCTGTGAGGTCCTGCCCACTGACCGCTCCCGCCTGGAGTTCTTCACCAAGCTGGGCTTCCTGGAGATCTTCCGCTGTGAGGCGGTGACGCGCGAGGAGGTGGTGCTGGGCCGACTGCTGTAGCCCGGCTCAGGCTGGGGGGGGGTTTGGGGGCAGCCTCACCCCCCACATCCCAGCGAACACACCCCCCCCCCTCACTGTCTCAGCTCGCCACAGCCGCGTTTCCATTGGTGGGGAATACATTCCTTTCTATGGCTTTGTTTGCCTTTCATTTTGTAAGTATTTATTTTACCTGTATGATTTTGGATCTTCTGTTTGGTGGGCGTGTTAGGTGCAGTGAGCGGTTTCTGGCAGCTGCTGCCCTTGTGGGGCTGCGACACCTGACTCTCACACTGACCAGCTCCACTATCACCTCCGGGGCCCACGTCCAGCCCCCCACCCACACACATCTAGACACACCGCGCCCCACCTGAGCTAGAAACGTCTGCACATCGCTCTTGATAGAAAAGTGGATGAGCATCTTCTTTTCAGCTTGCATTTCCTTTGTCACGGTACAGATGTAACAAAAGACCAGAAATAAGTTTCATGAGCGTTCCTGTATATGTCGTGTTACAGTGGGTGGCCAGGTCCACTCTGGCTGGTTCTTTTCCATTGCTCTTTGACATGAGCTCTGCACCATGAATCCACCTGGGCTCCAGCTCCGGCACAGACCATATGCTTGCATACACATCCAGCACAGGGCACTGAGATAATCAGCACTTGAGCTGATGGAAAGAGCACACAAAACACAAGGACTGCCGAATTCCAGGTCAAGGCAGGATGACGCACTTCTAGGAGCGCTCTTATGGTTGAACACACGGACACTCATGCAGGGCACCAAGCAGTGCACGACCACACGCATGGTGAACGTGGCTCTGAGCTCCCTCTTGATATCGGCCCAAGGGCAGCTTGAGTGCAGGCGGCTCCGTCATCACAGTTTGCAAATAACCGGACGCTCTCGGTGCCACAGCCTGCCTCTGGTTCCTGACGGTCTCCTGACTGTCTCAGATTCCAACAGATGAATGACCGACAAGACGTACTGTATCTGTATAAAGTAAAAGACAAGGTTTACTTGCAACATCGTGTCCCACAGCCCAGGAGCTGGAGCCCCTCCCCCCAGAGAGCTGGTGGCTGTGTGCGAGGGGCTGGTGGAAAGTGCGATCGTCTCTGTGGCCCTGCCGTGGGCTGGTGGAATCGTCACCTCATGCCCTGTGACTCCCAGACAGGCCCGAGACTGCACCAGTCTTTCTGGGAATGGGTGGGCCTGGAATGTCTGTTCAGTTGATTCCAAGGCTTCGGCAGGATCCCCCCAGAAATGTCCTGGTGATTTTTTTAAATCCGTAAGCTTATGACGATGGCTGTGCAAGGAAGCAGAGGGCGAGTGGTCCCGTATTGTGCGAGAGCTTTGTTCTTCACCATAGCTGGCAGGGACGTTCCAGCAAGGCTGGGTCCTTGTGTGGGCTTCTCAGTATGCGATTCAAATCAAGAAGCAAATAAAAAAACAATGAGCCGTATTAGCAGCAAACGTTTTGAGCTTTGAGGCCTAGAGCCGGTGGCAATGCAAAACCATGGTCAAAACAGGGTTGCTCAATTCTACTCCTGAAAGGCTGGTGTGGTGGCGGCTTTTTAGTCCACCTGGGCTCTTAATGGCCTAGGATCAGCTCTTTAGTAGCTGAATTGGGCCAGCTTATCCCAGGTCTTCATTTTCTGGTGCTTTAAAGAGAAAAGCTGCAGACACACACGCCCTCCAGGACCAGCATTGAGCACCCCATGTGGAAAATATGGCACTGTCACTGGACACCCCATTTTTCCAGGTGAACTGGGGGTGAGAGCTCATTTGTCACAGAAGCCAGGAGACACAAGGCAGGGGTCCCCAGCTCCAGTTCTCAGGGCTGCGGCCCTGCCGGTCTCTGGGGCTCAGCAAGGCCCTCCAGTGGGCCCCGCCCCCCGCCCCCTGCGGTCACCATGGTCACTTTGAGGAGCGAGGAGCCTCGGACTGACTGACCCACTCGTCTGTCTGTGGATTTATTGTTTCATTGGTGACTTTGTGTAAAACTGATTAAAAGATTTGGTTTTCCCTCCAAGCGGTCTGTGTTCTCCTGTACAGTTCTGTGCAAAGCTTTCCTCCACGTCACTCCATGCTCTTGGGGAAACAGGTCCAGCTGCCCCATAGCTGGAGGAAGAAGCTGGTGGAGAGCACTCAACTATACTTCTTGCATAACTGTTTTTAACTGTTTCATGATGTGAGAGAGGCAAAATTGGAAATTCACAAGCCTCTTTTGCTTTCCTGTGCCTTTACATTAAATTTGAATTTTTACAATTAATGGCAAAATACCGTATTCATCTGCACTTCCATCCAAAGCACCTCACACATCCCCTCTATACGACACGGGGCAATCTGAGCGCAGCGCCTTGCTTGGGTCCCCAGACCACTGCTGCCGCAACACTGACCCGCCCAAGCACGCAGGAGGCAACAGTTCTCTGGGAAAGATGTTGCCGGGGTCAGCTGGGCAGCCTAAAAGTAACCCCAGAAGCCAGGAGCTGCATCAGTGGTGAAAGGCCATGGCTGCCCCTGCAGTGCTTGAGAAAGGACAACACCGAGGGACAGATCTTCTATTTGAAACAACAGATTTATTCAATGCACAAAGAGCAGTTGCACAGAGGTGCCAATAAAAACGAAAAGACAACATGTAAACATCAAAAACTTTCTTCTTCTACGGAGGAGAGAGACCTGGAATCTCACCTGGCCCTTTCCGTCTGAAAAGGGCAGGACTGGGATGACCAGCAAAACCCAGTTTGTTGCAGGAGGTAGAGGCAGTAATATCCCATACAAAAACAAATATATATATATACACACACAGCGATATACAAAAATAAATAAAACAGAGATGGCAGGGCTCCCTCGCTCACTGCAGCCAAAAAGTGTGAACATTTTCAGTGCTGTTGCAGATAACGGCCATATCAAGAGGCAGAAAACGCGCCGAAGTGATAATCTGAGGTTTCTGGGGAGAAGCTGGGGAGACTGTGGCTCGGCAGACCCACAGCTGCAGACTCCTGACTCAGGATGGCTGTGGCATTAGCCCGTCCACTGGAGGGGTGCTAGTGGAGTCTGCCTGCCCGTGCTGCGTTATTCAAGCACAGAGGCCCCTGCTTCCTCCAGCCTGCCAACAGCCTCATTTACACGACTTCCAGACCTCCACGTCCTCGAGCACCACCCCCCCTCAAATCACATTGCGGGACGTCCGCCCACCATCCCTTCCAGCGCAAAACAATTCACAGTCACAGGATCAGGAGGAATTCATTTTCTCAGCGCAGAAACCCTTTTATTGGAAAAAAAAAGCTATAGACACGGGAATCGCAGAACCTAACTGCACATCTGTTGTTCTCCCCAACACAAAGTGCAGTGTTACGTAAGTGTTCGTGTTACCTGAGCTCTGTCTGATCACACAAGTTATAGTGAGTGATTACACCTGGCTGCGACTGAGCACCCTGCTTGCACCCTGCGCCACATACAGTAAGGGTGGTAACCGATGCGGCAAAAAAAATGACCCATCGGGTGCTGTTACCCAGGCAGAAAGCAAAAAAAAAATGTGAATGAGTAAAGAAAACAGTTGATTTGTGACAAATGGGATTAAAATCAAATTGATTTGGCAAGGTTGGGCTTTTATTTTATAAATCTTTAGACTCTTCCACAGTATGCCCTGGTTTTAGGTTGTGTGCAGTAAGACACAGTAAACTCACATTGTAACAAGGCCAAGAAATTCTTCAGATGCACTGACATCTTCTGGACCTGGTTTTACTGCAATTACTGAGGCTTTACCCAGCTGGCTCAAAGCCAAGAAAAAAAATCAACTTACAATATTCCTTAAATTAAACGAGACCAATCTGACCCATCTCCTTCTCGATTAAAAACCTACCTCTCATGTTCAAGAGCATCCCCTCACTTTGCACTCCTGCGAGTCCAAACGGCCTGCAGTGTCTTTTGTCTCAACATTAAATCCTCGATGAAGAGGCATAAATGCTCTTCAAAAGGGGATCTTTTCTCAAGAGCTCAAATCCGAGGTCGCACATCGCCAGTAGAAAAACTGTCACATGAAAAAGGCAGATGAGCACATGTCGGGAGGAATCAGGGACCCAGGGCTGCGGCCTTCAGTGCGTGCTGTGCCCTGCCTCGTCTCCCCTGGGCGTCAGAGTGTGGTGCCCCCTGCAGGTCTGCCTGTGCTGCGTGTAGAAGCTCCACAGCAGGTACATCTCGTTAGGCTCCAGCTTGTGCAGGACCATCAGCCCCTGGTAGGCGCAGGGGTGCAGGGAGGTGGAGAACTCGAAAGGCATGAAGCCCGGGTGGTCCTCAGCGGTCACGTTGGCCGCCTGGGCGCACATGCCCACGTAGGCATCGTCGATGGGGAAGAGCGGGACGCCCTGCGAGGCCTGCAGCAGGAGCTGGATAGTCTGCCCGGACAGCAGGTAGCCGCCGCCCCCCAGGTAGGGCGGGTAGGTCAGGGAGGAGTACATGGACATGGGGATGTAGTACTTGTTCCACCACACGCGCACGGGGCTGGAGCTCACGAACGCCTTGCCCACGTACAGGCTCCTGTGCTGGGCCTGCTGGGCCTGCTGGGACAGGAAGCCCAGCACGAGCCCCACGTCCACGAAGACGTCGTCGTCGCCCTTCAGCACGTACGGCACGCGGGCAGCGCACTCCTCCTCGAACCAGCGCCAGAACAGCAGCTCCTTCAGGGTGACGTTGAAGAAGGACTCCTGGAAGTCCCACTGCAGGACGTCGCCGTGCCGGGTGCTCTCCTCCGCCACCAGGGCCTCGGCGGCTTGGGGGAGCGCCCGCTCCTCGCCCCCCGCGGCCCGCCCCAGCAGGAACACCCTCTGCACCTGGCGGCCCCCCCACACCCCCACCTGGCCCCAGGTGCTGCGGATGGCCGTTCGGCGGTCAGCGTTCGTGGCCTCAGACTTGATGGCCAGCAGCAGGAAGGCGGAGCCCCGCGCGGCGCAGGCGCCCGGCCGCCTCAGGGTGGGGTACGCCGTCTGGTGCTGGAACTGCAGGAAACTCCGGTGCAGGTCGCTGGAGAAGTCGGTGAGGAGCGGAATGGCGCAGAGCAGGAGCAGGAAGGCCAGCGCCAGCCTCTTCCAGCGCAGCCTGCTGTACAGCACGCTCCGCAGAGACTCTGCAAACAGGCACGCACAGACCGGTCAGCGCAGCCACACACACTTCTCACAGGGACACACAGAGCCAGCTCTACACACCCACAAAACCACAGCCAGTCCTTCTGGTTATTTCAGCAACGCTTTTCCGGCTCTACCAATTACAAAACAGTGACAGTTACTGGCACTGTGCTGTTTAGTACAGAAAGAGCAGAAGTTGAACACAAGCTGTCTCGGTAGCAAGCTTGCCTCACTGTCATGACACAACGGGCGATTCACACGAGGGGACTCAGCCTGAAAGTGCTAATTGCAGACTTCAAAGAAAAGGAGACAGGAAAAAGAAAAACAGGCTAAAAGATGTCCGGGGTTATCGAAAAATAAAGACAGAGTGAAAAAGAATGGGTGATGGAACTGTACTTCTGAAACCGTCGAAGGGTCATTAGCTCAGGAAAGCAGACTGAAGATATTTCTTCTCTGAAGATATAACAGATAAAATATTTATGTGATAGGGAACAGAGATGGCCACAGGGTGCAGAGATTCTGCTTGAAGCACAGAACAAACAAGTTCAAGAACTCAATTAAAGAAAAAGAAAAATAGAAAAAAATGAAATCCCCTTATCAAATCTGGTTAAAGAGAATGTCTAACAAACTGTAAAAATGGTTAAAATGATTTCTAGAAAGGCCGGAAGACAGACTGATGAGAACATGGCAATGGAGGCTGAAAGACAGCCTCTTTACAGTACTACAGCAGCACACGAGCAGCAGCGGATGAAGTGTTTAAAAATAAAAACAGGAAATGTCGGTCAATGAAAGGGAACCGACTGGGGCCCTGAAAGAAGAGCTCCTCACATCGTCTCCAAGGAAGAACACTAGATCCTGTAGCACACGGGGGGGCTATTTGCTAAGTGAAAGTAACAGTCCAGATGTTTCTTAAAAACGTCCAGAGTTTGGGCCTCAAACACCTGTATGGGAAGCCTGTTCCAGACACCCAAAACTCTTTGCATCAAGTAGCTCTCTGTCCTAAATGAATAAGTTTCATGGGCAGCAGTGTGGAGCTGTGGTCAGAGTCAGCATAGCTGTAAAACAGAAGTTCGAGCAGGGCGCTGCGTCAGCATGCAGAAGCTGCAAAGGAACAACAAGGAACAAAGAGACAACGACTGGGCTGCGGAGCCTTCTTCACCCGTTGTCTCTCTTTTCTTTTCCTTTCAGCGTGGAATAAACCTTTACCTGTTCCTCTGTAAAACACAAATCTACTGACTTTAAAACCCCCAGTCTGCATTTCCATGTTCTCCACGATCTTAAATCATGCTTCAGCACTCAACAGCCTTTCCACTGAGGTGGCGGCTGGCAGCTCCCAGCAACACATACCATACTGTCTGTTACTTCTTGCTGAGAAGGACATGTCTGTAACGCTTCTGAGCTATTGGGAAGGTATAATGAAAAAGAGGTTGCTCACACCTGAAGAAGGCTTCACGGCCGAAAAGTGGCGTTTTCTTTCTTCTCTTTTCAGCAGGGAATAAACCTCTTACTTGATCCTTTACAGCCTACGCATGCTGACACGGCTCCCCACCTGAACTACTCATGAAAAAGAGGCTGGTGTGGAATCATGTGCGGTCCCCGCCGGTGTGGACCTACAGTACAGTGCATTCCTGACGGACAGGTGAAACCTGTCTTCCACACGTCCCGTACGTGTAGACGCGAGGTGCAGGAGGGGGTAGCTACAAGGCGCTCGTGACTGAGGATAGGCAGCCCGAGCTTGTTCAACGCCTCCTCCCTTCATGGAATCATCCCTGGGGCTCTGACAGTCTCGGCTCTGTTTGCGACCCGCATGTCAGCTTGGGGGGACGCGGAAGTGAAGACTGGCTCCTCCGATACTAGCCCGTCTATCCAGTCTGACAGCTTATCAGAAGCTAGAAGCTTGCAATCTGTATGATTTAGTACAGAACCTGGTTTCTACAGGGTTCTGCACTGCACGACACGCCTCATCTCATGTGTGCCTTCATACAAATTAATTTGCACAAAGGGGGGTGTGATGGTATTACTTTTTATCAATGAAAATTGTATGTTACATGGGGCAATATTATTGCATATTGGTGCAGGATTAAGTGCAATATTTATTTTCTCTGTGGCACCAATAGATTTCTGTAGATAATGTATTGTGCAAAACATTTTTTTATACTTCATCCTTTTTGCTCTCCACCTGCATACAAAATTCCTCTTCTCACAATTTAATAAAACTGAAATGTGGCCTCCTCATTATTAACTTGCTTACTACAGGTATTAAAACTCATTTTGCCTCTTCATAACAAACCACCATATCTGGATTGGCTAAAATGCATTTTTTTACAACTCTGAACAAAATACAAGCCTCTGCATGCTCACCTCCACTGAAAAGCTGCATTCAAATGGCAATCAGGGCATTCTTTATACAAAGGGGTTGTTGGAGTCTGGACAAGCTACTTGGCTGTTGTCATTCTGTGAATACTCAACTTCCAGATTATACCAAAATAGGAGAAGAAGGAAATGAAGAAGCAGCAGAGGAAGTTCAAGAAGACAGAATTCAAGACAGAACAAACAGACTGACGGCATAAAGTTTTGATGCAGATGGGAAACACCGAGCTTGAAGAATCTACTCATGAAGAAGACTTTTCTATTAACCGACATCATCCTCTAGACAATAAGAAAGCCAGCAAAGTGTCAAACAACGTCAGGATATACAGATAAAAGGGAAGAATTTAAACCAGTGGATATTATTATTGAAAACTGGACCATGTACCAAGAAGACTTCATTTTGATTACCGTGTGTTGTTGTGGTCACCATGTAACAAAGACGCTGCTTTTCTGAAATGAGACTAGGAAGCAGTCGCCAGACTCGTGTGCAGGTTTACAGGAGTGTCCCACACTTGCAGGCAACAGGAACTGAACCCTTTTCAGTAGACCTACAGCGCACAGTTCACCTTTCCGAAAACCTCACTTTCCATTTTGAAAACAAAACGGGAAGTGCATATAAAGCTGCAAACATGTAAAGACACCTCTTTACCCCAAGAGTGGCGGGAGTGTGGTACAAGCTACCCAGCCATGTGCTTGAAGCCGCTACCCAGGTCCTATTGGCTACTAAAAAACCAATGAGCTGAAGGGCCCCAACAGCCTCCTCTTGTTGCACACATTCGTCTGACCGATTGATTGACACACTCGGAGGAAAGCGCGTTGAGTAACAGCGAGGCTGACGTCTGTGGGGCTGCGCTTCCACTCCAACAGAGGTGCTCTGGACATCTGCCCACTGCCCTGACAGGTGGCTTGACCATCACCCTGACACAAAGGCCCTCGGCAATGATGACCGTGCTAGCTCCATTGCCATTTCTTGCATCTGTGACGTCTCGTGGGGCTGTTGTGATGCCCCTTACTGGCCCAGCTAGTGCATTTCCTATAGTCGTGAAGCCACTTCCAGCATGCTTCATCAAGAGGAAACACTTTGGTCCGTGCCCGATATTCATTGTGGATACAGGACAGGCTCCCGACTTCTGGATAAAATGTACTACATTTAAGAAAAGAGTTGTTGGATGCGATTAAGGCAGAATGCGATTTTAACGTGCCAGGAAAGTGAATTTCACACAACCGTGAACAACTTCAGTAGCAGTCATGATACTGATCATGATTCAGCAGGAGCTCAATGAGTTTTTTTTTTTCACGGAAGATTCTGTAAGGACATGTTAAAGACAAGCTTTGATAATTATTGTAATTGAAAATATTTAAAGGACTTACTTTTATATGCATACCATCTGAATTGTAAAACATAAGGTTTGGGTTGGAATATTAGTCTGTTTAAAATGAAAAGACCCCTTTCACATTCCTGGAACTGCAACAGGGCGAAACTGACCTTGATCTAGGGTGAGTTTCCCGAAAGCATCGTAGCGCTAAGAACATCGTAAACTCGCTCTTAAGATAGATTGTTAATTGACGAGTGTTTCCCAAAACCCATCGTAACTGAAGTAGCACGTTAAATCCTTCGTCATCTACGTGCTCCCCGACCCGCTCGTTCATCACTAAGTGCTTCTTAAACTGGCTACCTCTTGGCCAACCTTAGCGCCAGAGATCGCCAGACAGAGCACATTCACTTCACGTCATGGGAATTCTCTGGAAATATAGAATACTGAGATTTTATATTAAGGATTTTGATATTTTGTTGTACTATGTAAGAGGAAATTCGAAAAAAAGAACATTTATTTCTACAGTAATTAATTTATTAGTCATCTTGGGTAAATTTCATATTCACAAGTCAAATGTTTTAATAATGTTCTTGGCGCTACGATGCTTCTGGGAAACTCACCCCAGGTCAGTTAGACTGCTGCTGACACTCTCCATCAGCACGGTGGAGACGCTGCAGACTGCAGCCTTCAGAGGTCACGGTTCAAGATGAGCTGCAGCCAGTTACTGACGGACATTAGCAGGCCTGCCACGGAACTACAGGCGGAAATATTCAAAACGCGGTCACACAAGTTCTGGGGTGTGAAGTCGGTAAACTATCAACTTATCAAAAATGTGCATGTTGTGTTAGAGGACGGAGGAATATTTAACCGAGCTCAGTGTCTATACAACGAATACCAACCGAATAGGGCTGAGTTGATGCGGTTACACTGTTTTAAACCAACCCAGAAGCATTTTCCTTTCTTTTTATATTCGCGCTGACTACATTTGTACTTAGTAAATATGTCGGTATGTTAGTAATGTGTGCGGCACATGCACAATCAGATCAAATTTTTAAGCAAGGTAGGGAGTTAACTCAGACATACATTACTAATTACATTTTTACATCTGCACTATTAACACCCGTATCTCAGTGCGTTATTTCATGTCTTCCTCAATCGAACTATCAAACCAATCTGGAGGAACCGATTATTAGGAGTGCCGAAAATGATATTAACATTAGCCTAGAATGTGTTCGAAGATTTATAACAGTTTTTGAAATTTACTTAACCAAACTAACCCTCTATTTCGGAGAGATACACATACAAATAACCATGTAGATCTGTGACTCACAGAAGGATTTTTTACTCGTAAATTCGCGAGACCTCGCTTGCCACAATTTAAAGAGAAATCAAAGATTATAATTTAAAATGAAATGTAACATCCTTGTTATTAAATAGTCAAAAATACTTCCTGAACACACTGGTATCCCGACACCAATCCCCAAATCCGACATTAATGTAAAGCACCCACCCATTAGCGCTGCGGCGGCTGCCTCTTCTGAAGTCGCTCTTATCTCGTGCCTTCACCTGCTCAGTATCACTCAATTCGCATGACTTTCTTCCACACTCCTTCCCTAGATGCAGACTGTGTGTGTGGAGGAGAGAGTTTCAGGGTCTGTGAGCAACCTTACATTTCTTGCCGGGAGTGTCTTCTCTCTCCTCCCTGCTTTACAATATCGTCGGAGCTCAGGTATCGCTTGTAATCCTCGCTTTGTCAGCGAACTTCCGCCCTGGTCACAAAAAATCCGAGCTCGGGTGTCGTCCCTCCACCAGTAAAAAAATAACACCGATCGCACTGCACTCCTCACCGGAAATTGATTAATTTCATGCCAAGTGAAATTATTTTCACGATTTAAATGAGGAAACGTACACTAATAGAAGCAATGCAACCGTTTTACGCACCAACCTCTGAGAGGGTTTGAGCTAACGTAACATTTCCTTTGCGTAACACACAACGCAACAAATATTGTTAGAAATAACATATGTCTGGAGTGTTAAGGTTCTTTACAGTGCAAGTCCTGAATCGATGATGTATAACAAATGCGTGTAGAACTGCTCAAGGAGATGAACAGTCATTTTCAAAATACATTAAGAAACATCTAAGAAACATCATTTGTAGCTGTAATTTATTCACAAACATGCTATAAAAAACTATTTGTGGCAGGTGCAGTGATATTTTATTGAGCAGACCTGGCCTCAGGTGATGGATGTAAATCCATTCTGCTAATTGAAGTGTGTCATCAACTGTGTTGATCATTGTGAGGTCTGCTGTGAACGTCTCAGGCTGGTAAGACCCTCAGAAAGGAGGCAAACCAGAGGTGCCATTCAGTCCACATGTCCTCCCTGTAAGCTGGTAGTTCACTGATCCAAGGATTTCGCTCACCTGGTGTTTGAAAGTAAAGGATTCAGCAACATGTCTCCCAGGCCAGCGGAGAGGTGTGTCCCCTCCAGCTCCTCCTGGGGGTCTCCCAGGTGCTCCCAGGCTGGAGGAGAGGTGTGCCCTCCGGCGTGCTCTGGTCTGCCCTAGGGCCTCTTCCCAGTGTGCCGTGTCTGGTACACCTCCAGCAGGGGGCATCCTCACCAGATGCCTGAGCCGCCTCAGCTGGTTCCTCCCGATGCCCAGGAGCAGCGACTCGACTCTAGGGACCTCCTGGATCACCAAGCTCCTCACCCGGCATCAGAGAGTGAGCCCAGCAGCCCTGCGGAGACCCCCCATTTCCACAGCTTGTACCCAAGACTTCATTCTTCCAGTCACCACCTGGAGTTCGTGACCACAGGTGGGGACAGAGACCTGGACCGCCTGGAAAACCAAGGGCTTCATCAGAAAACCCATCAGTTTCCCACTTCACCACCACAGTTCAGTACAGCACCACATTACTGCAGCCACGGCACCGATGCGCTCGTCACTCCCACAATCCCCGCTGCCCTCACCCCTGAACAGCACCCCGAGGTCCTTAAACCCCTCCACTGAAGTATTGGGTACAAGCTGTGGAAAAAGTGTGGGGACCACACCCTGGGGTCCCCACACTCCATACAGCAGTCTCATATTTGTGTGTCTCCCAGTTGGGGGTGCTGGTGCAGAATGGCTGCTGTGTGTCTCCCAGTTGGGGCTGCTGGTGCAGAATGGCTGCTGTGTGTCTCCCAGTTGGGGCTGTACATCAGTGGTAGAATAACTTGGTCCCTTCCTATGTATTAAAAATGCTTTGGAATTCTTTGGATGGAAAGCACTATTAAATTCCAAGATAAATCCCACAAACATCCAGTACTGAAATATGAAATGGGAAATCTACATCCATTTTCATAAGGAAACCCACATGAATTGAGGTACAAATAAATTAGATTTATGCTAAACCACTGACTTCTAGATCACATCAGTTTTGGAAGGGTGCATCTAGAGATATTAATTCAGCATTCAGTATATTCATTAGATTTCAACATTGGTTGCAGAAAACATAATACATGAGCTGTGTTTACTGTTCTCTCTGCTTGAGGTGAACTTTGTGTGTTATAAAAACAAAGCCCAGCAGGTTCTGGGTCTGCCTGTCTCCCACCACCTCTCGCTCTGCAGGTCCACAGCTGGTTTGAAAAGAATTTGCATCAGGTGAAAAGGTCAGACCGAACAGTGCAAAGCAGGCTAAGAATAAAACAGCCCAAACAGGGTCTAATGGAAATTCACGTTATATTTGTAGTCATCCCACACTTGCTTTGCTTTTGTGCTCTGTTCCTGTGTTTCTGACATTTTCACTTTCTGCACTACACCGTAATAGGATGGTTTTGCATAGCATATGGTTAGAAGAGCTTGCGATACCAGGTCTCTCTTATCAGCGGGCTGTTCTGCCCTGTGTGAGCCATGGCAGAGCAGAGCCTGCCCTCGAAGCACAGGGACACAGGCCACAGGGCTGGACAGAGAGGTCAGGACGGCTCTCTCGCTGCTGTGAAAGGGACACAAAGAAGGGTTCTCAAAGACGTGTTTCTCAGCTCCCACAGCAGAAAGACAACAGAAACTAAACTCATCCTGAAACTGGGTTCACACCCTCCCCCTTCTCTCAATGACAGACTTATTTTCATATAATCTTCTCTATTCTAATGCAGGTTTCAACTTCACACCTCCCTTCACCCCTCTCCACTTTGCACTTCCTGAGAGACCTCTCTGCCTCTCCTCTCTCACCACCCCCCCAGCTTTTGTACTCCTAAGCTATTTAATCTTTACTATCTGCCCTGTCAATTCAATTTCAATTCAATTCAATTCAAGGTGCTTTCTTAGCATGACCAATGGGTACAATCAGTGTTGCCAAAGCAAATAAAAATAATAAAATTAACACGAAACAAAATAAAAAATAAAAGTAAGATAAAATCTACAGAAATATTACAGACATTTACAACAAAGACATATCATAAAATTGACATATACTGTAGACAAGTATACTGTAGAATGCATGTGCAGACCAGCTGGCAGATGTCTTCTTGGACGTATTCAATCTCTCTCTAGCTCAGTCTATAGTTCCTTCCTGCTTTAAGAAAACCACCGTTGACCCTGTTCATAAGAAACCTAGAGTCAGTTGCCTGAATGACTACACCCTGCACTCACATCAGTGATCATGAAGTGCTTCGAGCGGTTGGTGAAAGCATACATCACCTCCTCACTGCCTGACACCCCAGACCCCCTGCAATTTGCATACCGCCAGAATAGGTCAACAGAAGATGCTATTACCACTGCCCTCCATACTGCCCTCTCACACCTGGATAAGAAAGGAACATATGTGAGAATGCTGTTTGTTGATTACAGCTCAGCATTCAATACCACAGTGCCCCCAAAGCTTGTCTTCAAGCTCTAGGACCTGGGACTGAACACCTCCCTCTGTAACTGGGTCCTGGACTTCTTGACGGAACGTCTGCAGGTGGTGAGGGTGGGCATCAACATATCCTCTACCCTGACTCTAAACGCTGGAGCCCCCCAAGGCTGTGTGCTTAGTCCTGTCCTCTACTCCTTATTTACTCATGACTGTGTCATCTGGCATCACTCAAACTCCATCATGAAGTATGCGGTCGATACAACATCGGCCTGATCAAAGATGGTGAAGAGCCTGCGTACAGGGAGGAGGTTGAAACCCTGGCAGCATGGCGCCAGGAGAACAACCTCTCTCTGAACATCAGTAAGACTAAGGCGATGATTGTGGACTATAGGTAACACCAGGGAGGAGATCACACACCTATCTACATCAATGGGACTGCAGCGGAGAGGGTCAGCAGCTTTAAGTTCCTGGGAGTTAACATCTCGGAGGACTTAACCTGGACCCACCACACCAACACCGTGGTCAAGACAGCACAGCAGCGCCTATTCTTTCTCCATAGGCTAAAGACGTTCGGCATGGCAACACATAACCAGGCAAACTTCTACAGGTGCACTATGGAGAGCATCCTGACTGGCTGCATCACCGCCTGGTGTGGGAGCTGCTCCGCCCGGGATCGCAGAGCACTGCAGAGGGTGGTGAAGTCAGCGCAGCTCATCACCGGCTGTGAGCTACCAAACATCCAGGAGATCTACTCAGCTGGATGTGTGAAGAAGGCCAGGTCCATTCTCAAGGACCCCAGTCATCCCAGTCACAAACTGTTTTCCCTCCTACTGTCCAGTAAACGGTACCAAAGCATTCGGTCCAACAGACCAAGTCCAACAGACTACAGAACAGCTTCTACCTCCAGGCAATAAGACTGCTAAACAGCCAGCCTGCAGCTCCTTCAGCAGGTCACCTGTAATGGCTACATGGACACACAGTTTTCACTGTGTTCAGCATAACCCCACTACTTGTATATATTGCAAACGCCATGGACACATAGCACATAGACACATAGCAGAAACCTCAATTTTGTGATTTTGTGATTTTGTGTTTTTGTGAATTTTGTGATTCTTCTGATTTTTGTGAGCTCGCAGAAAAGCCATTTCATTGTCAGCAACTACTGCTGCACGCTATATTATTGTGCATTTGATAAACTTTGATTTGATTTGATCTGTCACAGTGCAGTAGGAAGTGTACCTCTGTCTTTATTTCTCCCTGCTTGCAGTGGGAGCACAGCCTGTCCTCTATGGGCAGCCAGGTCTGCCTGTGTCTGTCACGCCCTCTGCAGCCAGAGGGCGCTCCTTCTCTGTCCTTTCCCTAGTTTCCGGTCTGCTGTCCTTCCTGTCCCTCTCTTCCTTGGGCTATATATTTCCGGGTCTTGCACTCTGTCCTCGCTCAGCATTGATGTTCGGATGTCCTGAGACCCGCCTAGCACCAGGGCGCCCCACGTCCGCTCCCTGAGGGCATAGGTTTCTATACGGCATTCCTGAACTCTTTGCACTAATGAGCCCGGGCCTTTTTCCCGTCTCGCCGCTACGCATATGGGTCTTTTCCCGCTCTGCTGCTCCCCATGGTTAGTCCCTTTGGACGTCCGTGACAGTGTCCAGTGTGTGTGTCCAGGCTGTGGTCACTGAGCCTGTCCTCTCTGGGCAGCCTGTGTCGCCCAGTTTCTATGGCCAGGCTGTGGTCACTGAGCCTGTACTTTGTCAGGGTCTGTTTCTTTTTGCTGTTTCTTATCTTTGGCTAGTGTGTATTGTCTGTTTAGGGTTCTGTAGCATTCCAGTTTGTGTTGTGTTTTTGTGTGTGTGTCCCAGTGTGTGAGATATTGCTGTTTGATCTTTGCTGTGATGTGGTTGAGTCTGGGTTGTGGTGCTCTAGCAGTGCTGTCCTGAGGCTTGTTAGTGTTTGTGTGGCTCAGGTCAGTGAGCCTCAGGCCCAGCTGGCTCAGGGGGCTCTGTTTTGGGCTCAGCTCTTGGCTCAGCAGGGCTTTGTGGTGGTAGGAATTTTGGTCGCTGTTTTTTAGGTGTAGCCAATACTTTAATACTCTTTTCTGAATGTTTATCAATAGTTGTTAGGTGTTTTTCTCTGCACACG